TGAGAAGAATAGTTATAAAGGTTAAGAGTCATTGCAAGACAACAGAATAACATTTGAGCATCTCTGAAATTGTAAACTAGGTTGAGAAAATTACTTGATTTTCAGTCTGATTTACAGGACAGGTTTTCAGTTATAATTTTTTAAATAGAAAGTGATATAATGGAACATTTAATTCTTTTTAAGTTTTCTGTTTAGCAATATATGTTATACTACTTGGTTGTGCTAATAAAAGGAATATTGTAAGACCAGAATTTTATTAGATAAACATGAATCAAAAGTTAAATTTAATTGATCTTCATACTAAGAGGAATTAATGCCTAAAGATCTCCATATTTTTTTTGTTGTTGGGAATGGTCTTCAGAGTATGTTTAGAAATAACACCATCCTTTCCTCCTCTTCCCCTTCCTCCCCAATAGACCCCAAATTACGAAGTTTGTACTCCTCAGACTTCCTCCATTTTACCTAAACATAGACTGTGTTTGCTTTTCAGAGCTGAGTCCTTTGTAATCTGTTTTGGATTTTCACCAAGTGAGCTTCCTTCCTTTGCTCTCCCATCCTTCTGCCTTGGCTACTTTGAGTCAGCTCACTGCCTTCTTGTAGCCCTGTTTTCCTCCGTGCACACTTGATCTGAGCAGACACTGTCAGTGACAGCAGTTAGCAGCAGAGCAGAAAGAATTCAGTACAAGCGTGTGCACTGCTGATCTCTGACACTGTAATGTTTTCTATTTTTGTTATTATCTACTTTCAGAAACTGGGAGCTGAGTTGATACTGACCTTGTGTGGAATGCCTCTGAGGATTTGGGATGGGGGGAGGGTGCTAGATTTTCATATGACTTATCTCTAACATGCTGCAGCAAGACTGAAAACATACATCTGCTCACATAAGGAGGAAAGAAAATTTCCAAGATTGAGCTTGCAGAATTTGTTGGGTATTTTCAGAAAATTTTCCCCCTGTGTTTTTCTATTTCTTGAATTTGCCTTATTTATATAAGGGTTGGAGGTGGGGGATGGCCTTTGCATAATAAATAGGTTGAGGTATGGAAGGATCGGACTGCAACAATGATTCGCATAGTAAGGGATTGTTTAAAATCTCCACGACATCGCGACCCACATTGCGACCCATCTGACAAACGGTTAGTGAGCTCCTTGGCCATCTCAAACGTTTAAAAGTACAATGTACAAATAGCTTTATTTGTATAGTTTCTTCCATACACATCTTAAGAACATTGTGCCTACATATCCAAAACAGTTTATTTTTTTCTACATTTAAAATCTCACCTCAAGAAGGTGAGAAATATAAATGAAGGATGCAGTTGTCCCTTAGGTATCTGTTTTGGTATAATTTTCTCACTTTCCTTTATGCTGGAACTAAATGGAGCCTGAGCTTACATTTTGGGTTATGTCTGAGATGGAAACTGAAATGTAGTCTTGAAGCTCGAAGGAGAAACTTGGCTATACTGACATGAAGGACTTGTTAAATGCTGTCTTCCCTTCTCCATGTTTTCGCCTTTTACCTTTCCCCACAACCCCAGAAATGTACTGCTGCAGAATTCTTTGGGCTTTTTCTCTCATTTTGCAGAAAAGAAAGTGAAGGGAGGTGCGTGTGTTTGTGTGTGCGTGTGCACGCATGATTTCAGTACAACTACAAATGGGCAGTTAATGTTAAATCAAAAGAAACAGCTTTATTTTGCAATTCTGAATCTAAGGTTGCTTGGGATTCATTCATAGCAACCCAGGCCTGATTAAAGCGTGTAAGAATTTAGGTAACCATGTTTCAAAGTAAAAGTGGAGCCCAGCATGTTTGATTTGAAGAGTAGAAGAGGTAAATGCTGCTGTGGTTCTTTTTTTACTTTATATATACTATGTGTATATTTGATCAATTTGATTTGATATATGGTCCTAAAATAGCTTTTTTTGAGATGTAATTTTTGATAGAGCAAATTGCCTGTGTATTAACAATCTTTCCCATTTTCTCTGTTGTTTCATTCTAAAATTGATGCACACCAGTGATTTAAGGGGAAATTAACACTTCAGTAAATGTGTTTTTCCTTAATATTGTTGACTGTTTCTATTAGCCATTTTCATTTAATTTGACAGTGATACCTAAGGGTTAACCTTACAGAGCTGATGCAACCCCTCCTTTTCTTTACCAGCAATTTTCATTGGACACTATTTCCATAGCAACAGTGACGTCAGTGAAACCTGAGTGTTTCATTGATTATTTTTCTCCTCTTCCTTTTTTAATCTATCCTTTTTTCACCACATTTTAGTGAGAAAGCAATTTTTTTTACAAACGGAGCTTATATTGATTTTTATTCCATGAATAATTAAAAGAGGGTGGAAAAATCTGCCCTTCATTTAAAAATTGAATGTTTCACTATGTATTTAAAAAACGATTCAGGATTAGGAGGATGGATAACCATACCAGCTGTAGCTGATGTTCTAAAATATTCTTGCATTGTTTGCTGGTCTTCTAGGGAAAAGAATAATGTGGAACAGGACCTTAAGGAGAAAGAAGATACTATTAAACAAAGGACAAGCGAGGTTCAAGTAAGTGACCATAAAATTTAGTGTTCCACTTCTGATTTAGGACTATTCATTTTAAATGTATATGGTTATTTACTATTTGCTGGATGTTATATTAGGTCAAAGGAATGCTTAACGTGTTTATATTATATAAATGTTTATCTTTTCCAAGATGATTGTTCTGGCTTGGAATTCTGGCCTGCAAAGATTATACTGCAATGAGAAAGCAGTATTTTTCAGCATAGATTTCTGGTTTTGAAAGTATTTTTAAAATGGTACTTACCTGCATATTATATCATTAAAGGTGTAAGTTTGCATGACTTACAATGTTAATATTTTTGCACCAGTAAAATTAGAGTGAGACCATCATCTCCTCCTCCTCCTCCTCTTCCTCATCATCATCAAAAACCAAAATGCTTTTTCATGCATGTGAAATTTTTGTTAGCTAGGAGATCTAGTGTGTTAAAGAACTGTTTCTCATAATACTGGTAGGGTGGGAGATGATATAGAACAATTTAAAGTAGTATTTTATGAGTAGCTTAGTAACCAGCATATCTTAAACTTTGGCATAAAGAGCTTTAATTCATTTTCATTAGGTGTTGTGTTAAATAGTTTCATTTTACAAAGAGAAAGGATGATAAAACCTCTGTTTTTGTTTGGGAAATGATAAAAATAAGGAGGTAGCAGTGTTTCTAACCTTAGAAATAGAGAAAACTGGGCAGTGCCTCACTTAGAGCAGTAAGCAATGCATGTGGCCATGTTATTGGGGTACTGTTTCCTGAATGCTGAACTGGCACATAGAGGAGATTGGATATAGAAGCACTGGTAGCAGTTGCTAGTAAGAACTCTTGGATGGGCATTTCTTAATGTGTTGCTTGTATGTTGGATTTTCCTGCTTTTCCTAATAGTTTTAAGTAGGGAAAAACTCTAAATTGTTAGGTCCATTGTTTTGTTTTGATGCAGGACATTCATTAGAGATTGTCTGTCTGGTGGACTGTGCTAGGGCGGGGAGAATGATTTACTGAAGAGTTGAGGAAGAAACCAGAGGGACTTGTCGGAAGTTGATTCTCTGATTAGGTGACTACATTTATTATATTTACTTGAATTTTCCTAAAGGCAGTGCAAGTTAAGAGTTCATCTTCAATGTAATTCTCTTTCTGGTAGTGAGGTTAGGTGGGCATAAGAGGGTAAGTTATCTGAATTACATTACTTTGTGCAGTTTTTGAGCTTCTTAGGAAATGCAAAAGAGCCACACATTTTAAGCAGTTATTACTAAAAATAGTGTAAAATGGAAGATAAAATAATCTATTCAAGTTTTCA